GCCGCGCCCCCCGCGCCCGCGGCGCGCGCGCGGACCTCCACGCCCAGCAGCGCGGCCAGGCGGCCCCGCGCCGCGCGCGCCTCCTCCAGCGGGCCGTCCCACTGGGCTGCCAGCAGCACGTCCAGGGCTGCGTCAAGGCCGTCGCACGCAGAAGGCGGGCGCCAGGCCGCGGCCTTGGTGACGCCGCACCCGTCCCCGCCGCCCTGCTGCTGCTGCTGCTGCTGCTGCTGCTGCTGCTGCTGCTGCTGCTGCTGCTGCTGCTGAAGCTCCCCAGGGCCCTGTGGCAGCGCCTCCACCCCCGCCAGCTCGTCGTCCCCGCCCTCTGCCGCCAGCAGCGCCAGGTACAGCTGCTCTGCTGTGTGGCGTCTCACACGCGGGTAGCGGCTGACCAACAGCGCCGCGGCGCTCTGCAGCGCGCAGTACGCCGACGCGCGGCAGCCGCAGAGCGCGCCGACCAGGGACGCGCCCTCCAGCAGACGCGGGACGTCGCCGCAGCCCCGCAGCTCAGCTCGTGCCAGCTCCAGGGCGCGAACCGCAAACGGCACGGACTCGCAGCTGCTGCAGCCATGGCCGTGCTGGGGGCACCGCTGCTGATGGTCGTCCGCCGCGCGCGGAGCCGCTGCGCCCGCGTCGCCGTCGGCGGCGGCTGCGTGCTGCGGCGCCGCAGGGACGGGAGCGTCAGCCGCACCGCCACTGGTGACAAACATGTGCGCTGCCCGGAGGAGCGGCAATGACAGGCGCCCGGACCTGGAGGAGGGGGGCGAGGCGAGATCGTGAGACGGAATGGCCAGCGGTGAGGTGCCGCAGCGTGCCAGCGCACGAGCGCACCCGGCCCGGGCGTTATCCAGCCGCCACCACCCATTGATGTTCAACGCCGCATTAGTGGTGGCCACGACTGCCATCAACCAGCCGCCCGCACCGACGACAACCCCCACTTGACGGCTCGCCGCACAACTGCACCGACGTGCCCTCTCCGACTCACTCGGCCGCGCGCTCCCTCTCCCACAGGAGGACCAGCTGCGCCGGCAGACGTGCAAACAGGGAGCTCCCGGTGCGCCTGCCTGCGGCCCCTGCGCCACAGGGGTCGTGCGCGCCGCCTTCGCTGCCGTCGGCCTCGGCGTCCAGCCGCGCCAGCAGTGCTGTCGACGCGGCAGCAGCTAGGGAGGCATCCACGCCCCCGGCACTGGCCACGAGGCCCTCCAGCAGGCTGGCCCTGCGGCGCGATGCGCGGGTGTGGCAGGTGGGTGTGGCGGTTGAGGTGGGGGCCGTCGCTGGCAACCGTGCGCTTGTGAGCTGGGCAACACCCTGTGTCCCACACGGCGCACTACTGGCTGCGCGGCCGTCGCTTTGCGCCACGTGATGAAGTGGCCCGCCTTGGCCTGCTGGGCACACCCGCCGCTCACACTCCCCCAAAACCCCCTGGCCGCCCGTGCTTACGTGTAGCAGGGCGCGTCCAGCCGCGCAGCCAGCCGCCCAACAGCCTCCAGCGAGGCCACACCGGCCGCGTCGGCGGCGTCTGTCGGCAGGGCGGCCGCCACGCGCGCCGCCTCCGGAACGACTGATGGGGACGGGGTTTGTGTGTTGCAAGTGTGTGAGTGGCGGCAGCCTAATGTCGGCCTGGCTGAGGGCCAGGGTCACAGGCACCGCCACACTGCGCACGGACAACTCAGGCCGCACTACGTGGCCCGCGTCGGCCTCACGGCCCGGGGACCTCCTTCCTCCCCGCACACCACCTTGCCAAGGGGCGCACCTGCCGACACAGAGGGTATGGCGAGCAGCGCCCGCAGGTGCAGCACCGCCGCCTCCCGCAGCCGCGCGATGCGCTCCACCCCGATCCGCAGCAGCTCCCCCACGACACGCCCCGCCAGCGCAGCCCCGCCGGTGAGGGTGGCTTGCAAGCCGCCCTCAACGTCCCTTGTCTGCACGTCAGGGTCGGCTTGCTGCATTGGAGAGGACTCTCGTGGGCCCCAACACCGTTGCTGCTCCTGCTGCTGCTGCTCCTGCTGCTGCCCCTGGTGCTGCTCCTGCTGCTGATGCTGATGCTGCTCCTGCTCCTGCTGCTGATGCTGCTGCCCCTCCTGCTGCTGCTCCTGTTTCCGCCCCCGCTGCTGGTGCTGCTGCTGCTGCTGCTGCTGCTGCTGCTGCTGCTGCTGCTGCTGCTGCTGCTGCTGCAGCTGCTTCCGCTGCTGCTGCTGCTGCTCCTCCGCCAGCGCCAGGGGCAGAACCGTCACCAGCGCCTCCATTGCTGCGCCCCGCACCCAGCTGCCCACGTCGCCGCGGTTGTCTGTGGTGTAGTCGCGCAGCGCACCCAGCAGCGCCGGCACCACACGCGCGCGCAGCATGCCCGCAGCTGGCGCAGGAGATGCAGCACCCGCCCCCGTCCGCAGCGCGCGGTCGTCCCTGTCATTGTCATCGCCTTGCAGGCTGGTGGAACAGGGGCCGCTGCCTGCCCCGCCGCCCCAGAGCTCGGCTGAGAGGCGGCCGAGCGCCTCCACAGCCGCGACCCGCGACTCTACATCGCGCTCGCCCGGCGGCAGCACGTCCGCACACGACGCGTCGCAGAGCGCGGCGACGGCAGCGGCAGCGCCGACCGGGCCCGGTTGGAGCAGCAGGGCCGCAGGCGTAACGCCTAGCGCCTCGGCTGCACCACGCCTGCGCTCGCGCGACGACGGGGCGGGCAAGCTGGGTGCGGGTGCGGGGCCACGCAATACGGACTTGTGTGGCCATAATCCCCGCAGTCCGGCTGACGGTACGAAGGCGGCCGCAACTGCTGCTGCTGCTGCTGCTGCAGCTGCGCAGCCAGAGACTGAGCGGCCCCTGGTGCGCCCATTACCCTGCACCCCCTCCTTCCCAGTCCCCCACGCTGCGGCCCACCACCCCTCTGCGCCCCACCTGTGTGCGAAGTTGGGATCCGCGAGCCGCGCCAGGCACCGGCCCAGCAACCCGCCGAGCGCCGCCGCCCGCTCCGCGCACCCGCAGTGCGCCCGCGCGTGCGACGCCAGCGCCGCCGCGCCCGCGGCGCGGATGCCGCCGAGTGTGTGGCAGAGGCAGTCCTCAATCAGCGCCAGCGCCGACGCGTGGTGGGCGTCCCCCAGGGGCAGAGCCAGCCGCGGCAGCGCCGTCGGCGCCGGCAGCAGCGCGCCCGCTGCCGAGCCGCCGGCGGTCCCCGCGGCGTCGCCCTCCGGACGCCCCGCGTCGCCCTCTGCCGCACCCGCGCTCGCAGACTCCAGGCCCGCGCCGCCCTGCGCCCTGCCGCCGCTGCAGTCGTCGTTGCCGCGCCGGGGTGCACCGCGCCGCAGGCCGCTGACGGCCTGGGCCGTGCACTCCGCCAGCCGCGCGGCCGCCTCGCGCATGAGCTCGCCGCCCTTGCCGCGGTACAGCCGCGCCGCCTCCAGCGCCGGCAGAACGCCCGCGACACGCAGCCCCAGGTCCTGCCCGGCCCCCTGCTGCCCTCGGCCCTTGCACACGTCCACGCCGGCCTGCCCAGCCACAACTCCCGCCCCCGTCCCTGCAACCGCAGCGTCCAGGTCGCCCACGCCTGCGGCCGCCAGCGGCGGCAGCAGCTCCGCCACCCCCAGCACGGCGCCGCAGCGCGCCTCGAGCGCGTCGTCCGTCACGCGCGCCAGCAGCGGCGGCAGCGCGTGCGCCGCGGCCCAGTCGGGGCCCCCGGCGGGCGCGAGCGCGGCCAGGGCGCGCGCGGCCAGGGCCCGGGTGGGCTTGTCCCAGTGGCGCAGCTTGGCGTCCAGCAGGTGGGCCAGCAGGGCGCCGCGGTGTTCAGGGAATGCCGCGACCTGCGCGCAAGGCGACGCCGGCAGCAGGGCGCGGGGCGCTGGGCGCGGCGGCTGGCGAGCGCCGACGGGGCATGCGGGCGAGAGCGGCGGGCCGGCTGTGCGACGGCGCAACAGTGGCGGCTCGCGGGACGCCGGAGCTCCAGGGCGATCGCCACCAGGCGGCACGCAACGGGTGTGGGCACCGAAGAGCGCGGCTGGCCGTGCACCTGCGGCGCGGCTGTGAGGAACGCGGAGCTCATGTTGGCCACGCTGTAGCAGTCCACCGCCCCCAGCAGGTCGAGGCCGTGGGGCAGCGCGCCGCCCAGCCGGCCTACCGCCTCCTGGAACGCGCTGGCCGCGGCGCGCCGGACGTGGACCTGTGGGCGCGCAGCAGGGGTTTGGGGTGTCGCGCAGCGCGGGGCAAGGCGGGCTGCTGAGGGAGAGGGCTTCCCGGGGGATGGGCCTCCTGGGGGGCGGGGCCCCTGTCATGCGCGGCTGCTTGGGGGCGGCAGGGTGGGCGCCTTTCCCCCCAGCCATCCGTGCTGC